AGAAAATCTTTCGCATGGTGACTCATTTCCTTTGCCCACGGCATCTGGAATAATGGATACGTGTCTATCCTGCATCTATTGGCCTGAACCAGCACGACCGGTAGCACTGTTGATATTTTATTGCTTACTCGTATGTGTGCGAAGTGTTCGGATAACTTGTATGGGTCGACTGAGGGCTGAGGTTGCTGCTTGTGAACCGAGAGATGTTCGACCAGGGGAAGACGATAGATATGCTTCTGGCCCCAATACTAAATAGTATCCTCTCTACCCAGCATGCCACAGAAACATGCACAAATCCAAACACTTCGACTCCCCCAGATAGACAGCCCTCCCCAGACTTGATCATTACTGGTACTTGATATGTATGTGTATACGCCGTCCCTGCCCAGAACCCAGATGGTAGTAGTAGTAGTAATGGCAGTGGTAGACAGTCTGACCTAGTCCTGTCCCTAGTCCTAGCTTGATTGAGCCTCGCTTGGATTGTTATTAGGTGGTATGTGGTATAGAGAAAACAGGATGGAAGGCCAGCCAGCCACGCATGCTAGAAATGGATCCGCGCAACGCCGATAATCTGTCCACCACCGCTTCCCTCCTGCACGATCAAGACTCTCTCCAGACCGTCAGTCGTGTCGCGCGGCGAGAGGGGCACCACACCTCTACCACCTCGCCACTCGCCGAGGTTGCGGACGCTCTTGACGACGTTGCGATGCGCCAGTGTTTTGCCGGCGTTCTCGCCTCTCGATACATTGACCTCCTGCAGGGTCGGGTCGTAGATGACCTCGACCACGGTGCCGATGCGGCCGGTGGCGGCAGCGGCCGGGCTGGCCTCGCGGATGAAGACGCCGGCGTCGACCTTGGAGAATAGCAGCCACGGCCAGTCCTTGCTGGCGAGCCGGCCGCCTTGTTTGATCAGCCGCTCGAGCTTCGAGGTCGAGTTGCCCGCGCCCTCGGACACGCCGTTCACCACCACCTGCGGCGTGTACACCCTCGAGGTGCCGTATGCCTGCGCGTACTCCCGCTGGCGCTCGTCCGCCCCCGCTGTGCCAAACGGGTCCGTCCACCCCAGGTGGTCCCAGTACGTGACGTGGTAGTCGAGGACGAGGATGTTCGGGTCGCCCAGCGTCAGCAGCGACAGGAGGAGCGTGTTGGTCGGCGGACACGAGTTGCAGCCCTGCGACTGGAACGCTTCGACGATGATCGGTCGGTTGGGCTTCGGCTTGTGTATGTGGATCGCACAGTCGCAGTCCTCGGGGTGAGGGTCGAAGATGGCATACGGTGGAGGTGCTGCCGGTTCCTCCTCCTCAGGATCTATCGGCGGTGCAGCGTCCCATCGTGTCCTTGGAGCTTGCTGTGTCTGAGGCGTCTGTTGTGGTCGCTCGTCTTCGTCGTCGTCGAAACAGCACAAGAACTTCCTCAAGAAGTTTCTTGGCCTCGTAGCGTTGCTGGAAGTCATTGTGTGGAATTTTCTTGAAAGTGGCGAGGACGGGTTTTTTGGAGCAGATGTCGAATATCGCAGGGACAGACCACAAGGGATATAGTTTCTCTTATGAAGAATCAACGTTTGCAATCAGTGACACAGCCATGATGAAATATTTCATCGTCGCAGGGAGGCGGAGTGTTTCTGAACGCAAAGTCTCTTGGCCAGAGATCAGGCGGTAAGAACAAAACAATTGCTCGGCCATGGCTGATTTGATATTATTGAAAGCCACGTTGACACCAGCTCCGATGGTTCCGTGGCCGGGCAGAAAGAACCATTAGTTGATTGCTCTGCGTTTCTGCCGTTATGGATGCTTGTTTGCTCCGGTGTCCCTTTGGCCTGGTTGTAGAAATTGCGGCAGGGCAGCTAGCGAGCTGAACGAGGCTTAGATCTGACAATGTTTCCATCATCAAGATCCACTCGGCGAGAAGCTGATGGGCGTTGGCGATCAGCCAATCAAGCCATATTGCGGGGACGGCTGAGCCAGTAATCTCGCTTCTCCCTGTCTTTGCGATGTCTTTCCTGAACCTTGTTGTTAAATACTAAGCATGTATCTTGGTGGACTTGAGGTGGAGTGGGTATATCGAGTATACATAGGTGCCGCCGCCGCAAATGGCAGATATCGGATACACCAACGAGCAACCTGCATGAAAACTCATACATCCCTTCAAGACATCTCTCTCAGCAGAAAACGAGGCCTGCTACGCCTGAGTTGTATGATGAGATATGTCCAAAGAAGGGCTGTGGTGCCGGGTTTCCGGAACTGGTCAAAGCACATACAGAGCAAGTCGTTGGGACCGAGACTCTGCACATCGAGCCTACTCAGGAACCAGACTCTCTACCGGAGCATGTTGTCACCCAAGACCACAGGAACGTCGTCGCAAGCCTTTTTCGTCATCCAGCCTTGGTCGTTGATGTGTGTGCGTGTACGTTGGTCCATGTTTGGAGGAATACTCGCCAGCATTCCAGCCTTGACGTCGCTACGCTTTGTGCTGGGAAGCACCGGCCCTCCACCCATTGTTCAAAGAATGTCGCCCCGGCTACCACAGGAATTCTCTTTTGTTTGACAAACGGTCCGAAAACAGAAAGCCCTGGGGAACTATCAGGTGGCTCACCTTCAAAGTAAATCAACGAAGCATTTGAATTCGGGTCTCTGAATTTTCCCGCAGAGCGCAGAAGACGACTTCTTGCATGGTACAGTCACGGCTGTCGTCGTTGCCTTTCCCTCTGCCTCTGACTGACCGACTGACACTTGAGCGTTGTTCGTCATGAAGCTCTTCATCGTCCTCCTCCATTTCCTTTGTCTGGGCCTTGTGGATGCCATCAGTGTACAGGAAATCCCTCCGTGTGCAGTAAGTTTTGTTACCTCGTTGGCAGAGTGGGAGTGTTGACAGAGTGAAACAACAGCAAGGATGTCTCTCGAATTCGACCTCTGCTCAGAAATCATGTTCGGTCATCGATATCGCCTGCCTTTGTTCGAGTTCGGCATATGTCAGCGCGTTGTCTTGTTGCCTGTACACGCAGTGTAATTCCGACGAGCAAGCATGTACGTGAGAGTCGTGTGTGGTGCGCTGCGAAATATACAGACTTCTGACAACTGGTCATAGTGGCTATCCAGTTCAACAAGCAGGAGTGTACTGCTGTCAACGAGACCGCGCCGGATTTTGTGGGATGTTCCCCAGCAGGACTTTCAAGTGCGCTCGCCAGCATGAGTCTCACGCCACCTGCAGCAGCTCCATCAACTCAGCCAGCTTCGACGTCTTCTTCCTCGAGCAATCCGAGCATCTCAACCATCTCGGGCGAGCCAGTGTCGGAAACGCCAGAGCCGACAGCTGGGAAACCAATAACGGCAGCAAGTTTTGTTGGAGCACCGCTGATGACGGGCAGCTGCACGGTGCCGTACTTCGCGATAACCACAGACGCTGCTGGCCGAGTGACGGAGTATCCCAACGTCGGCTGTTCTCCTGACCGACCAGATTGTTGTGCATATGAGTACGGACTCAACGCACTCATCACGAGATGCCCGCAGGACTATTTCACAACCGCCAGCGCCTGTTGTCCACTGTAAGTACTCTCCCTCCCCGGTCTTAACGAGTCCGCAAGGCTAAGTGAGTGTCAGTGGGTATCAGATATATTACACCGCGGTTGGGCAGGATACTCCCTGTTATTCGGTGCCTGCCACGACATTAGTCCCTGCATCCACTCCCGCAATAGCCGGTCTGACGCTGATCACCGATCATGTCTTCTCGCAAAAGTATTCGCTCGTGCCACAACAGCAGGCGAAGAACAAGTTTCCACCAGGAGCAAAGATTGCCATTCCCGTCTCCATCTGGGTGGTGATATGTATAGTGTGTCTCGCGACCTTCTTCTGGGTTCGGCGAAGACGCAAGGCCAGGCGGGCTGCAGAGGCCAACCGCACGACGACATTCCCGCCCGAAGAGCCTGTTCTGTCTCAAATGTCAATGTCGAGAGCGCCGACCGCACACGAGCTCGACAGCCCAGAAGGTCAAACAGGATCTCCTGGAGCCGTGGGGGTTGCGAACGGGTGGCCCATCTTCCCCTCCTCATCGCCACCTGCATATGACCCGAACGCAGCAGGTCCGGTCGCCCTCCAGAAGCAACCGCCATCGATACCACAGGAGCTGCCCGGCAGCACATTCATCCACGAGCATCATCCAGTGTTTTCGCCCACCGGCTCAGTAAGCGCACCCACCGAAGCAACACCTGGCTCCCCGCCAGGGACACCCGTGCAAGCCGCTGCGACAAGCACTGAGAAGAGATCACCAGTGCTGTCGAGCGTCACATCACGATCAGACGCTCAAAGTCCGGTATTCGTGTCGCCGCTGAGCTCTCCGAGGTTACCCAAGACAGGATGAGGGATACAAAGGCTGTAGATATCTTGTTTTTCTCAATTGGAGTTTTTCATTTGCTCGGGCAATTTTAGAGCACCTGTCGAGTAGGTTATTTGTGATTTGAGCTACGACGGTGTTATAATTCTGAAGGTGCGAGAAGATTCAAAGGAAAGAAGTGAATGGTATACAATGTATGTGACCTCGGTGCAAGGTCACGTCAGACCGAGTGTTTCTGCTGCTGTGCTCTATATCAGAGGTCCCTGTCAGACCAAAAGTGACATCAGTGCTGGATAAGGGAGACATGTCGGAGTGCGTGCACATCCATTGTGCACAAAACTATATTAGTATCCCTATTATCAGACACGTGCCCTGCCTCTTTCGGCTGTCTTGACGAGTGCAACAGGTGACATATAATCTATGCCGTATTTCTACCATATACCTCATACTTATAGTCCAGAGGCACCTACCTGTTCGAGAATCTCTGCTAGGAACAAAGCATGAAGTATAGCCACCTCTCTGTATTCCTTGAATTCAATATGCTCGACGTGCCAGCTGAATTACAAACAGCACATCATCCTGTAGAGGTACAGAGGATAACCCTTTGAATTTCACGATAAGAGAGTCATTTTACTCGCTAATTAAATCCACGACGAAGACCGACATATTCAATGTCATCTATCACTGACCCGTGACACGCCTTCCTTCTCTCCGCCTCTTCCACCTGTCCCAGGTGGTAGCAGCACGTCAGGCAGCTTAATCCCTAAGCTGCCTTTGGAGCCAACCTCCTTCTCCTTCTTGGGTTGTGACTTGTTTCCTCGCCCATTATCTCCGTTGTCAGTGTCGTCATCCTCGCGAAGCTCCACCTCGATCTTTTTCAACTTCTCCCCACGTAGAATCTTCATAATTTCCTCCCGGTCTAGTGTTTCGTATTCCAAAAGTGCATCTTTTAAGGCTTCGAGTTCTTTCCGCTTCTCTTTGACAATTCGATCCGCTCGTTCTCGACCGCCTTCCACAATCTGCCGCACTTCTCGTTCGATTTCCTGTTTCGTCTCGCTCGATAGCTTGTCATAGTCGGAAGCAAGATCGACATTTCCCAACTTTGGGGAATACCCGCACTGGGTGACAAGATAAAATGCGGTCCGAGTGGCTTGCTGAACATCGTGCGAGATACCGCTGGTCACCTTGTTTGGACCATAAATCAATTCTTCAGCGGCTCGACCGCCCATTGAGACATCAATCGAAGCGATGAATTGATCGTAACCTCGGCTCACTTCGTCCATTTCAGGGAGAAAGTGGGTGACACCAAGTGCTTGACCACGTGGGATGATGGTCACTTTGTACAGTTGATTGCTGGCCGGAGTAAACAAATTGACCAAAGTGTGGCCAGCTTCGTGATAAGCGGTCTGAATCTTGTCCTTTTCTCGAATCATGCGGGATTTGGCTTCAGCCCCCATCATAATCTTGTCCTTGGCCCACTCAAAGTTCATGGCTGTGATTTTCTTGTACTTCAACCGTGAAGCATGAACTGCAGCTTGGTTGCAAAGATTCTCCAAGTCGGCGCCAGACATGCCGCTTGTAGCGCGTGCAAGATTGGTCGCATCCACATCAGCTGCGATGGGCATATTTCTCATATGGTGCTTTAGGATCTGTATCCGACCGCGAACATCGGGCAGAGGCACATTGACATGTCGGTCGAATCGTCCCGGTCGAATGAGCGCCTTATCCAGAGACTCCGGATAGTTGGTCGCGGCGATGAGAATAACACCGGTGCTCGGGCTAAATCCATCCAATTCCGTCAAGAGTTGGTTGAGTGTCTGTTTCGCATAAGCAGGGTCACGTGCATTCCGCTTGCCGCCAACGGCATCCAATTCGTCAATAAAGATGATCGAAGGGGCCTTGTTGCGGGCTTGAGTGAAGAGGTCCCGAACTCGTTTAGCACCGACTCCCACATAAAGCTCATCGAATTCGGAGCCAGACATGTAGAACACCGGCACACCAGCCTCACCTGCAACGGCACGCGCAAGCATCGTTTTGCCAGTACCAGGTGGGCCCACCAAAAGAACACCCTTGGGGGGCTTGCCTCCTAGTTGATTAAACTTCTCCGGGTTCTTCAAGAATTCGACCAGCTCTTGAAGTTCCTCTTTGGCCTCATCGCAACCATGCACATCGCTGAAGCGGACGGTCTGATGTTGGGGTTGTACCTCGTTGTTTTGTCCAACCCTCGTCCGGAAACTACCCGTCATCTCCACGACCATGGTCAGGACCACCAAGAGGAAGTAGCCAGACAAGCCGACCCAGAGAAACGTTCGAACCCACTTTAGGATGGTTGCACCCCATGACTCTTCAACCACCACATAAAGCGGCGCTTCTTTGGCACCTGTACCAGATTTGTTGCTCGGCATGATCACTTGTCCACCATAGTTCTGTCCAGCAACCGCCTGGCCTACGGCCCTTAGCTTGTCTGCACTGAGCCCATTTCCCTGTGTGCCAGTAACGTTGGAACCGGGCGTGCCTGGGGCGGGCACCGAGCCGGTCATCTGTAGAGCTTTGAGATATGCCGCATCCGTTGCGGGATTGGTGGCATATCGACCTGACTGATATCTTTCAATGACGAGCTTGGGCATGTTTGCACGGAGGAGGGCGGAATAGAATGCATTTTGGGCGGTGGCACTAGTAGGATTGTTGTTCGCAGTACGTTCGGCGTGGGCCAACATGTTTTGGTTGGCAAGCGGGGAGGTCGTTGAGAATTGTCGATATTGCTTGTTCGCGCTTGACTTATTCCCTCGCCGTGGGGGACCAAACACTAAAGAAGTGAATGAAGACTGGGTCAAAGGTGATCTTATCGAGCGTTTTCCTGAGGCGGCACTTGGTGAGACATTGGGAACTCTGGTTGACAAATCCCGGCGCAGGGTCGGTGCCAGGTTCAAACGAGAGGTAACTGATGAGGAAATGGTTCGAGACATCCAGGGTATTGTTCGGCGAGAATTTAGGTTGAGTGTTTGCGATGGGATACTGTTGGTCGGAAGGGAGGCGAGGAAATCTGGGAGAACGACACTTGAAGAAAGCTGCGAGGCGTTAGGAACATTCCCATCTCGGAGAACATTTTTTGTACCGTTGACTGCCCTACATTTTTCCCAGCCGAGTGTATCTGCCGCGATCCCGATACATCTCCTTCGGTGCGCAGCCGCGCCAGGCGATAGCGTCGGAGAGTTTGAAGCGGCGAAGTAAAGAGCGAGGGCAGCGTCGTAAAGACATCTGGAGCAATTGCGGAGAGGCTCTGAGGCAGCGCAACAGTCAGCGGGACGACGAGTCTCTGTGAGACGGCCAGTATACTCACAGGCAACTGGGAGAGGGGAGCCTGTAAAGCCATGATCGGGATTGAGCGGCGGCGGCAGGCCGCTGAAGAAACACGAAAAAGAAACCCTTAGTAAGAAGACAAACGGTATGAAGGAAAAAGAACAGCTCGAAGAAAGAGACTATGTAAGGAAATAATGGTGATCTTGACTTGCCACGCCTTGGGCTCTTTGAGAGAGGGAGGTTTGGCAGGCTGGCTGGCGGGCGATGGATGGTGATGGGGGATATGGAAGCGCAGAGACCAGATGATGAGCAGCTTCCGACTTGCCCCATCGTTCGCCACCCAGGCAAACCTCGACACGTGACATCAAACGTCGACATCTAGTGCCAAGTCTGCGCCTCCGCCTCCACCGCCACAACTGGCCTGCGCCACACCCGATATCTCAAAGTCCAAGTAACTTGCCGTCAGATGCGTTTCACATCCACTCTAGGGCCACACAGCACACATTGATACCACCTTTCTGGAGCTGGAGCACAATAGAAGGCTCGGACTGTCTTTTTTCGAAGCTAATCTCATGCCCTTCTTTGAGGTCTTCCAGACTGACTATTCGACTTTCAGAATATCTACTCATTTCGTTGTGCCTCTTCAAGGTGAGCACCCCTACAGAAGGTGGCTCTATCTCCGCGTTGATATGGATATGCGGCAAGTCAATCGCTTGTGGCCTGCCAGGATGAAGGTGAAGGATTCTTGTGGAGAGATCCGACGCGTTTGAGCTTGTACTCCGACGTCCGTTGCTACGACTGTCGGTTTCAGGCCCTGGTTCGCTAGGTTTACCGGTCTCGTCAACGACTTCGGACTCGGTTGTATGATCTGACTGTCTTGGTGTTGTGGACCCGTCCACCAGTGATTCCCATTCGCTGTCTTCTAACCCTGGAACAGCTGGTGAGGCCGAAGACTGGGAAGCATTAGTGCAAGGAACGCTGGTCCCAACCGCTGTAGGGACTGTGGCAACAGCCCTATCGATGCTCGTTGGCCGATCTGATCTCACGCTTGGGATTGTTGATGCAGGTGAAAAGTTGGGAAGACTCATTAGATTGTGTCTGCTAGTCAGAGGATACGGACGCCGTGGATGCGTTGTCCTACCGAGCTGGGTGCATTTGCGGTGCATTCCTTGTATGATGGCTCTCAGTATCGTGATGTTTTCGGCGCTATACTCTGTAAGGTCTGGAATAGTCCACTGATCGTACAAACGCCCATGCCATGCCGATACACTGAAAACCTTGTGCTCAGAAATAAAGAGATGGCAGAGAAAACACGCCGCTTTGCTTGTACCGATGATTCGGGGCATGATCGATGGCGAGTTGAGAATATGATGAATGACCATTTGTACTTCTGCATGCACGTGGCAATTGACCATCCTCCCCGAAACTGATATAGGGCTTTGTACTGGTACGTACGGATCAATAAACTCGAGCCTGATACTGGAGAAAAGTGGTCTCGTCCTTCTTCGACGTGCTTCCCGGGATAGAGTCTCAGGGATTCTGTGATAGGCTCCGAGTTTATCGATTTGCATGATGAGTTTATTGTTAAACCATACAGATGAGTCGAATCCAGCCTCGTGTAAAGTGGCCTGGAATGGCGTATAGCCATTGGAAGTGGTGATAGAGAAGCATTCAGAAAGACATTCCTCCAGCTCGCGACCTGCCTGTAGGTTGTCTGATTGTAGGATATTTTGGAATCTTGCTTTTAGTTTGGATATTCGGTTCACCAGATTTACGGCGACTGGTGTAGAAGCCACGGCTCGCAACCGCTTTATAGTATTCTCCAGGCGAAGGCTCGATGTCGTGGTCGCCCCACGACAGTGAGAAGGTTGATGACCAAGGAAAAGCCGCATTCGCGAGATAATCCGCCCACGGGAGAGTGTAAGTACTAACCTTCTGGTCGTTGAAATACAGTCTGCAAGCGAAATGTCTTCTGAAAAGTCAGCACAACGACACAGTCGGCTTCCACCAAGTGGATTTTATGCCTACTATTCGATGCACAAGACATTAGAGAATCGCAAATCTGCTGCAAGACAGTTCTGTCCACTTCACCAATTCCTTCGTTTGCCGCAACACGAAAGATAAGGCCCGGAGGTTCACGATGCTCCTCGATACATACCGCCGCCACGCTTTCCACTCCTTCTTGAGCAGCTGATATGAACGCAAAGTCATCGGCCAGTCGTCGCTCAGTATGATAAGGCAGTGATCGACGAGTAGTAGAAGATGAAGGAGAATCTCTGTCGGCAGCAGCCAACCACCAGGATTTTGGTTCTGCTGGAACGCCATCGGTGAATTTGGAAAGTGCAATGACGGTTCGACGAAAAGCATCTTCTGAGAGACCTTTCCATATAGAGAATTCTGGATTGGACGTCCGGACAGGCTTCAAGATCCGCATTATAAAAACAATATCATTTCAAAGACTGTACTCGATGAATATTTCAACATAAGGTCAGAGAAATTCGCAGATGAGGCTGTAACTCGATTTCCTATGAATGCTTCTTCAACCAGTCAGGAATTGCCAGCTGGCGCGACCAATTGGCGAGCGGCATCATTCTGATCAGACTATTGGACAGATAAATTATTACGATTGATGCAAGATTGTCAGTCCTGCACTGCAATTCACGGGAAGTCTGCGGGCGTGAAGCGTTTTTGCTATATTGCAAGAGTCACAGGAGGTTGATGCTAGCAGCTAAAGAGGTTTGTTTCGGCCCATCTTGGTTAGAACCAATTTTAGACTCGTTCATCTCCCAAACCCACCTAATGAATTATTACTCAAAGCGCACCAACCGTGCCGAGTAAGGGAAGGTCGAGTTCCAGGGTGCGGGTGGGTACAAGGCAGGTACCGAGTACGAGTCCACGCAATACCACAATTACGTCCCCATCTGCGGTCTGTGCCAACTTTTCGACAACCCAAGCGCTGTGTGGCTGCGCAATACCTCAACAGAAGCTCGCAGGCGACGCAACTCTCGTTCTTGTATCTAAGCGACCGCCTTCCACTCCTTTCGAGTCTCCCTGACTTTCTTACTGCGCATCTATCATTTGCAAACTGTGTCCTTGCTTGTGACATCGCTCAACAACCTCATGCAAACGCCGAAGCGATCCCAAAACTGCAGCGTCCCATGAGTTGAAAACCGCCTCAAGTCCTACTAGTCTCTACGAGCATTACTCCCTTCCATATCTGAGCGTCTTCAAGTTCTGCCATCATGCCACACCGTCATATATCCAACCTTCGCCAATGGCTCCTCTCCTCGCCGCCCGCAGAATGGGCCCTCAATCAACTGCGTGAACTCCTAATCGGTGCTCTCCGCCAGGGCCCTGTGCCTAAACATGTTGCGTTTGTCATGGATGGGAATAGACGATATGCAAAGAATAACAGGATCGAGACTGTTGAAGGACATAACTTGGGGTTTGAGGCATTGGCAAAGGTATGACAGATAATCATGGAGGCCTAGAGGCCCTTCAGTCTATGAACCGGGTCTCTATCGGGTGCTGCACCAATGCTGATCATGCTATGATGATAGATCCTGGAAGTGTGCTATAAATCTGGTGTGCACACCGTAACGATATACGCCTTCAGCATCGAGAATTTCAAGCGCAGCAAATACGAGGTTGATGCCTTAATGTCCATGGCTAAAATCAAGCTAAAGCAGCTCGTTCAACACGGCGAGCTATTGGATCGATACGGTGCGAGGATACGAATATTAGGCCAACGAGAGTTAATCAAGCCGGATGTCCTCGAGGCGGTGGATAAAGCAGTCGAAATGACCAGCAGGAATGAGGGGAACTGTGTCCTGAACGTCTGTTTCCCCTATACCTCGAGAGAAGAAATTACGAGTGCGATTCGGAGCACGGTGGAGGAATGGACAACGCCATTGCCAGAAGATATCCACGGCAAGGGGAGAAACAGCACTTTTAAGGAGGAGAGAATAGCGAGCACCATTTGGTCCGAACAGTTTTCACAACACACAGCATCGACGTCGACCACATCGAGAACATATTTGTCGCCCACTGGGGCGGATATGCGATCACCTTCATCGAGCACCACGAGCTTGTCATCTTATTCGCCCGACCAGTCTGATCGTGACCATGACGCCTCGTCAGTGTCAACCGCAACAACCCTTCACCACGATGATAACAACACGTCGCCCTCACCACCGCTACGCCCACTAACGACATCTCAAAAGTCTACTCAGCAGACTCCACAGTATCCTTCACCTGAGTTAATCACTCCGGCGACAATCACCTCGCACACATATACAGCCAGTTGCCCACCCATTGACCTGCTCATCCGCACATCAGGCGTGTCGCGGCTCAGCGACTTTATGCTCTGGCAATGCCACGAGTCGACGCAGATTGTATTTCTGGACGTGCTGTGGCCCGACTTCGACTTATGGTCATTCCTGCCGGTGCTGTGGGAGTGGCAGTGGCGCAAACGGCGCGAGCAGAGAGATGCCCAAGAAAGCGAAGGACGGGCAGAAGACAAGAGGAGAGGGAAATCATCTAGCGCCAGTAAAGCGAGGAAAGCTAGTGGTATGGTCCAGGTTCATGTTTCGTGAGGGAAACGATGTTTGAAACCGGTACACACCATACGGCGGAGCAGAAAATCTTAAGAGAAAAAGGAGAGGGATGACGACCGGAATGGAATGAGCTGTATATATCCAACCCTACCCCGTCGCAATGCCCATTCTGAAGCCGAAGACGCAGATGGATACGGGATCTGCTGACTCCTGTTTCGGATATGGAGCAGCAATTCGCCCTCCGAAGGGCCAGTTTTCTCGAACTTCGGACCCCAACACCTGGCATCTTTCATCCAGACCACTTGTCAGACTGATCTCCACTGGCCAGGTCGCCTGTCCCTCTCTTCAAGTACCATCTTTCCAGGGTACCTCCCTCTCACCATCTCCACCCTCCCCTCCCACGCTCCAATGCCACAAGGCCATGTATCACATGTATCACATGCGTCATATGTATGTGTGCATGCATGTACGTCCGAACGTTTAAAAGTTTTCGAGCAGAGGAAATTAGACCCGCGCACATCACGCGCACGCCCGCACCCCAAAGAAAGATAGATCACCTCACCTCATAGATCATTGAGAATCCAGTAGGTTAGGTGTGGGTACAGAGAGAGAGAGAGAGAGAGAGAGAGAGAGAGAGAGAGAGAGAGAGAGAGAGAGAGA